ATATATCTCAGGTTTTCAAACCCAAGGAATGTCTTTTTTTAATAGGTTATAGATACACTGTACACATCTCACTCTTTTCTATTCCAAGATCTCTTTATACTTTACATATTTTAAATAAACTTATTCTTAATTGTATAAAATATAATTTAAATCCTACTAGCATAAGTTAATGAAATACGGGGCATTTATTTGGTGGAGGAGATTATTCAAATGAGGCACACACAGAACAAAATATGATCTCAGTTGTGTTAAACTCTTCTACTACATCAACGTGTGCCATAAACTACAGAGTGGGAAAACACACAAGTATTATAAAAAGATAATTAAAAATTTGTGTGGATTTATACATTCCTCAAAATTTCCCAGGAAGACTAAGTAATAATAACTGGTGCCACTGCCTGGGTTGTCTCCTGCTGACCAGTTAGCACAAAAGGGCAAGGCTGGGTCTCCAGCCTCCAGCTTACTGTCCAAGCCACAGAGGATGGTAGTGGACACTTGAATATTAAAAAGCTCTGTCTTTGTAAAATGGGAAGCATTCCTCCAGGCCTGGTTCTTAGGAACTATAGGGCATTGAAGGTTTGTTTACTGTCCTTGAACCTTATCCAAAAAGAGGACATAAGAACATTTGACTTGTGTGATTGTTGCAAAGCTTTAGGACATGTATATTAAGGATGTAACACACACTGAGAGATCACTGTTCAAAGGAAGTTATCGAGGACTGACCAAACTCTAAGAAGATACTAGTGGAGTAGTGGAAATCTTCGGTTAGATAGACAATGAACTTGGGCTTCTTAGTTGTTTGTGTGTTTCCAAACAACTTGGTGGGTTGTTTTGGAAATGCTCTGAGCTGAGCAGGACATAGAAGTGCCTTTGAAGCAACAGATAACATCCCTTGAAAGAGTCAAACCAATATCTTCTCTCTTTAAGTGTCAAAGCAGGAGGTTTATGCATAGAACACAGGTGGGTTTTCAGGGACGTCAAGATGCTGGCACAGACATAAAAGGCTGAGACCTTGAGTACCAAAGTGCTCACATTCAGCTCAGAGTTATCGTCAAAAAACCAGCTGAGCTGAGAGTCACTCAGGGAAGTTTCCTTTTCCTCTTTTTGCACATTTCTATAAAACTCAGAGAACTGGAAGACCTGACTCAGGGCTTATTGATATCAAGACATATAGGAATGTCCTGAAATAAGGGAACATCTCAGAAACACTTGCTATCTTCTTGTTTTGATGAGCTGTCTTAGAGTTGGATGACTCCACATTTTCTCCTGGGCCTGTGGGAAAAGCAGATGGATAATGAACACAGGAGGGATTCTGGAGGTACATCCTCAGGACAAAGCAGCAGACTTGAGAGTCAGCAAGTTTGAAAGTTTCCCTTTTTGCATCCAGGACCAACCTATTCCCAGATCAGGGTGGAGTAAGAATTTATGGCCAGGCTGTAGCTTGCAGCTGCTTCTGTGTACAGGACTGGTGCTCTGGGGTAAGGGCTGAGTTCTTGGCCAGCATTATTTTCTCCGATTCGAGGCTTACCATGTCATTGTCACTGTCACTGTCTTACCATAGTTTGAAGGCTTCGTGTGGTCCTGCACCCAGAAGATGCAAGGCCCCATCCCCCTCCTCTTCACGCACTGTGTGCTGAGTCCTTTGCTGGAGCTGGCATACATACACATCAGCTTATGACCAGCCAGCTGTGATAGAAGCCCACTCTCCAGCTCGACTGGGACATCCGACATCCACATACTGTCTTTACAATTCCGGATTCTAGCCATGAGGGGCTTTTTGCTGGTTTGTTTGTTTGTTTTGTTTCGTTTTTGTTTTTGTTTTTGCTTTTATATATATATATATATATATATATATATATATATATATATATATATATATATTTTCCTTTCTGAAGCAGAAAGGAAAATAACCTTTGCCTTAAGTGGCAAGAAATGTTGATTGATCAAATCCAAAGGAAACCTGGGTTGGTAGTAAATTATTAGGAGTAAGATTTCTCCCAAACCACTCTGCAACTTTATCAGCTTATTGCTCAGAACTGGCTAGATGGGGTTTATGCTCTGAAGCCTGCAGGTATAGTATTCTATATATTTCCAGTCTATCCCCCTTGAACCATCCTGCCTTCAGAGGCTGACAGTGATGTGAAGAGAACAGAGGGTGTTAAAATGACCAACTGTCCTGGTTTGTAAGACCTTGCCTTTGGCTCCTTTCTAGAATACATTGCCTGGTGGTTACTTTTGTCTTTTAAATGGCACAATGCACTGTGGACAGCCTTTTCCCAGTGTACCACACCCTGAGGACAGAAACCCCCTGCCTTTTGAGCCTCCTGTAAGTAAGAGCCACGCACCTATTCCCAATGCTTTCCTTTCCCTGTCATTTTCCCTTAACCTTGCCACACACTTGCAAACAACTGCTTCATTCTTCATTCTCAGTTATACCAGCACCTCGACTAAAAGACCTAGCTAAAAAGGCAAAAGTGATCATTGGAGAATGTAATTTTTTCCCTGTGAAAAAAGTGAAAAGTGCTCTAACATTCTGCAATTAGAGGCAATAAGGTTTCTACTGTTCTGCAATTAGCAGTGAGGAAAGTTCTAGCAGTTCGCAATTAGCATTGCTAAGTGAGCCAGTAGAAATGCTAAGAACTCTGCAATGTGAAAATAAACACTATGGCTTGGGGCCACAGACTCCAAAGGGATTCATTAATATGCTATGCTTCCTCATCTACTCCCAGTGGGGCAGTCTGGGGGAGACCGTGTTTGCTTCTTATGTATAGTATACAGGGAAGCTGTGACACTGAATACAAATGTCCTCTTAAGGGGACACCCTCCTACCCTCAGAGATGTGCCCCAAGCTGGGCCCCAAGGAAAAGAAGCAACAGTTATACACAGAAGAAAGATCAAACCCCCAGTATCCATGTAAAACCACACACGCCTATAACCCCTGCATTGTAGGGAGGAGAGACAAGAGCATCACTACCACTCCCAGTCTAGCCTTATCACACATTCCAGGTCAGGGAGCGTCTCATAAAACAGGTGGATGGTGTCCTGAGCAATGTATCCATGGTTGACCTGAAGCTTCCACATGCAGAACACACACACACACACACACACACACACACACACACACACACACACACACACGGGGGGGTGGGGAGCACCAACAGCAAAAAGAACAAATACTGTGGCCTGAAGAGATGGCTCAGGAATTCAGAACATGTACTGCCCTTGTAGAGTACTCCAATTTGCTTCTCAGCACCTGCATTGGATGGCTTACAGCAACTTATTATCTTGATCTTTACAGGACTGTCTTCTGGACTCCAGGGTACCTGGACTCCTGTGCACATACCCACATGTAGACACAAACATATACATAATTAAAAATAAAGGCCAGGCGGTGGTGTCGCATGCCTTTAATCCCAGCACTCGGGAGGCAGAGCCAGGCGGATCTCTGTGAGTTCGAGGCCAGCCTGGGCTACCAAGTGAGTTCCAGGAAAGGCGCAAAGCTACACAGAGAAACCCTGTCTCGAAAAACCAAAAAATAAATAAATAAATAAATAAATAAATAAATAAATAAATAAATAAATAAATAAAAATGGAGTAAATATCATTCTCAGAGAAATGTGAGGGAGACACCATCACTAATCTAATGGGTAGTTAACAGGACTAAGAACACCATGTGAAGGAGATACCATCACTAATGTAATGGGTAGTTAACAGGACTAAGAACACCATGTGAGGGAGACACCATCACTAATCTAATGGGTAGTTAACAGGACTAAGAGTACCAAATGCTGATTAGAATGTGCAGCCAGAGACTACCAAGATTTCAGAATTAAAATTCAGAAAGCCACTTTAGAAAACTTTTCAAGTGTTTTTTAATAAGTTTAAGTATGCATATGGCTTATGAGCCAATAATTCTACTCTGATATCTGTATCTAAGTGAAGTAGATGTCATTCACAAAGAATGGTACAGTAGAGTTTGAAGAAGCTTTAGTACCACAAATAGATGAGAACTGGGGTAATCAGATAAATTTCCATAAAGAGGTAAATACATTATGATGTAATAGAAACTGGAGTAATCAGATCAAATAAGCAACGTATAAACACAAAATAAACATAGTTAAAAATGTGAATTTTGAAGGAATGTAACTCAATAAAAATAAATATGATTTCATTTTTAGGAGGTTCAAAAATAGATAAAAATCAAACAGTGGAAATAGAAATCAAATTATCTTCACCTCTCCAAGAAAAATTGTTTGGAAGATGGATGATGAAATCTTCATTTTCTTTTCAGTTGTGATTATACTGGTATGTGAGTTTTACCAGTTTCCAAGGATTAGTTCAAGCATTTTATTTCCCATTTTACTTTAATAATGTATTACTTCAAAGAGAATCTTAAAATTCCATAAAAGATAGGAATCCTACACAAATATGTGCTTTTATTCTATATAGTGCAATTTCAAATCCATCACACAAAAGCAAATCCCTGAACACACATATTTACACAAAATATTGGAAATGTGAGAAGTATTTCGTGACTGAAATATGGACAACCAGACCTAATATCAGAGTAAGCTAAGGATTGATGCTGGATGAAAGCCAAATACAAACAAAAATGTAAACACAACTCAAAGGCTATTGAAATCCTTCACAAATTTCTGTAAATGGCATGGTTTATAAATCTGTGAATCATCACTCCTCTGTCAGTGCACCGGCCAATTGGGGAACTGAAATTTCCGCAAGGCAAGCAGCCTGATCGATCCCCTCTTCATCTGCAGGCTCCTTGGTGAGCCAGTACACTCCTGTGGCAGCATCACATTTGGGCACAGTATAGGCACACGGGTTTGCACTTTCTGTAAAGTCCAGCTATGAACCTCATGGCTTTGGAACTCATAGATTCCAAATTGAGACCTTGCTCCCAGGTATGGACTCCTGCATGTAGGTGCTAAGGAGTGATGCAAGCTTGGGGAAGGGTGCTTACTCGATATTCACAAGGAAAAACATTGACATCTTCACATATTTTAATTCAACACAAAGAAATTAACTATTAATTTCCTGTCTGGATATGCCTGAGTAAGACTAAACACATCGTTCTGTCTCCATGGGTCCTTAGTTTGTTCTCTCTTCAGTAATTCTCCAGCTTGAGGTCTGTTGACTTGTATATTTTTAACTTACATTAATACTGTTTTCTGCAGAGGAATAAGGGTGGATTTGATGGACTCGAGGCCAAAGTGACATTTTGCACTAGCTTTGAACTTGGAGAATCCCAGATGATTTGAGACATTCAGAGTGCTCTAATACTTTCTATGTTGTTTTCCTCTTTTGCAAAGAAAACAAAATACAAATGTCATGTTGGAAGCTGATATCCTCTACTCAGTTACTAGACGACTCCAAATTGGAAAAGGTAATATCCAATATCATTTGGATTTACACACTTAAGGACCCTCGGCTCACACTAAGACTCATGCTGCACAAGGTCCCTCTGGGTAGCAAGAGCTTCAGGAAGTTCAGACCTTTCTTTTGGTTGGCGCAGGAGCTGAGGAAGGAGGGTCCTCAACCTCGTGGTTGTCCTTCTTGTGCAGGCAACACCTGGCCATACAGTGCTGTGTTCGCTGCTGGCACAGAAGTACATGGAGGTCTGGCTGGGCCTGGTCGACTCTAATGTCAGGGGGAAATCCTCACTCTTGTTTCTGGAAACACTGTACCCTTCGGGGACATCTCCTTTGTCAGTGCTGCCAACACTTCCTGAGTAATGGATCAGCTTCAACCCCTGTCCTGCATCTTGTCGATACCAGAACATCCAATAGTGGTTCATATTCTGGGAGCATTCCAGGGTCATCTTTCTTCCTGTCTGTGTGATCCAGTAGCTAGGTGTCTGGGTAATGCCAGCATCTGTTAGGTCTGTTTGGAGAAAGACACATAAGGCAAAATAAGAAATAACAAGTGCAGTGTGGGGAAAGAAAAGATTTGGAGCCGGAGCACCGCAAGTGATGGTAGAATTCTCCAACAAAACACAGAACTCACCTGCTCTTAGCAGGCAAAGCATCACACCGAACAATGTGGGGGTCATGGCAGGTTACAGTGAGAAGGGATTACTCCAACTGCATGCTGTGGTCTTAGGACTGAGGACAGAAATTCTGAGCCTCCTCTTCTTGGGAGTGATGGTTGGGCCTCTGATGTCACCTCCCTCTTGCCACCTCTGCAGCAGGGCTCTCTTGCTCAGCAAAGCCCGCAGGGAAAGGGAGTTTAGCAAAGATACCAGGAAACGAGGGTAAACCACAGTCCAGCGGTTTCCCTTTCTTCCGGCGAGGAGTTTGTCCGTTGCCAGCACCTGTCCTGGTGTCAAGGCCGTCCTGCCCAAAATCTCCAACTGTGGGTCTCATTCCAGTTTAGAGATATCCTCCCGCCACTTGGAAAGCTGTACACAAACCAGTAACTGAAAATGTCTGAATTTCCGTCCTTGGCTGCTTACCCAGTCTCTCTAGCAATCTGTGGAGCTCAGTGCCATCTTGTGGCCAATACAGAAACTTTTCCCTGCAATCACCCAAGGAATGCTGGAAATCTGAGTGGTCATCGGGAGGAAATTCCAGAGGTATTATAGGACAATTTTTTATGATCACTTTTCTTAAACCTTAATCTAAATCCTAATTCTAGTTCTGATAAATTCTTGGTATTTTCATGTTTAGCATCTAACCCACCTTCACTCTACTATTGTACACACAACAATTGCAATTTTCTTTTACAAGATGGATAGGCACGAGAAGAACTGCTACTTAGCAAAAAATATTAAGAATAAAGACATATGAATTGACATGTAAGAATAATTTTGTTAAAGATAAACACAATTTTCCAGACAACACACAAAAAAATCTGATTGTCAATGAGTGAGATCATCTTCAAGATGAGGTCATATGTGTGAGTAAAAAAATAAAGTGGGGCAGGGAGGTGGTGGCACATGCCTTTACTCCCAGCACTTGGGAGACAGAGGCAGGTGGATCTTTCCAAGTTCAAGGCCAACCTGGTCTACATAGTGAGTTCCAGGACAGCCAGGACTGTTACACAGAGAAACCCTGTCTTGAGAAACCAATAAAGAACAGAATAGAAATGAAAGAAAAATATAAGATATCTTATAAACCAACTGATACGGGTAAAGCGGTGGTGGGGAATCAAGGCCGGGCATAATTAGCTGAGGGTGTGTGGATAACCTAGAATGCACACCTACTGATGTGAGGGGTGAGAAGAGAACAGACAGCAGGACTGTGGGAAACAAGGTTACATGGATGCAAATTAGTACTACAGTGAAGGTGAGGAGAGCATGCTGGATTACAACTACTTGCTGCCTGTGTGCCAGTCCCCAGGGATCATTTCTATTTCCAGAATGTGTTCCTGTCTGCCTGCCTTCCTCCACCAACTTAGAACACCAACTTAGAATTGCTCCTAGTGGTTGGACTTCCTCAGTTTCCATGTACCAGCTCCTGGCTCCTTTTTTTTTTTTTTCTGAAGATTAACTGCAACAAGTGAAAGTCTCCCTCTTTTTCAAATCTTATAATTCATGATAAGACCCTTTCCTGGTCACATGTTCATTCTTCAATTCTCTGCCCTTTCATTTCAACTAAACTAAATGTTTGTTGTTAACAGTAAACCTTTATAAAGTCCTTCATCATGTGACATGGAGATGTAGACGGTGTCTGCTTTCTGTAGCTTGGTGCTCATTTTGCTGATTCTTTTGCGCTCATAAATTTTACCAAGCAGAAGAGTTGAGATGATGTCTGGATATAACTAAAGCACAAAAACCTTCCTTGGTGCTGTAAGCAGCACAAGCCTGAGAAATTTTTCTTCCAATGAGTGAGAATATGGAATGAAACAGAAAACAGCAAACTGTATAACATATTTGAAAAGAATCTTCAGAGCATGTCCTGCAACATCTCCACTACAAATACTATATTATGGTCCAGAATTTATACCCAAGGGATGTGTTCTGTATAAACCAGAACACAAATCAGAGATGATCCTGCTACCCTGACTAGGTAGCCACAATTGAAACAAAGTTAAGAGGGAAATTACTTGAATCACCCCAAGGACAGGCAATTGCTATCCAAGTTGCAACTTCATTGGTTCCCAGGAAACAGGAAAAACAAAATATGGAATAATTGAGGATGGCATCATTAAAATAAGACACAGGCAATTCCTTGTCAAAGTCATCATTCTTGAGGAAAAATGTTTGGTATACAGAGCCACCCTAATTTCTGATAAGCAGGTTTTAGGGGGACTAGAATTTCTCTAACCAGCTTGCAAGGGCACCCTATGGTGGCTGGCTCTATGATAAGTAGTTCCAATCTGAGAGCACTGGGCTGTCTCTGAGGAATAGTAGAAGCCCAGGATGTATTAACAATTCTCATTACTCATTTAGGTCTCATAGATACAAACTGGTTTCACTTACAGATGGGCAGACAATTGTACTACAATATAATTGTATTTTTAACAAATAATATAGAGCAGTATAGCCAGGCAGTGGTGGTGCACAACTTTGATCCCAGCACTTGGGAGGCAGAGCCAGGCAGATCTCTGTGAGTTCAAGGCCAGCCTGGTCTACAGAGTGAGATCCAGGACAGGCACCAAAACTACACAGAGAAACCCTGTCTCGAAAAAAAAAAAAAAAAAAAAAAAAAAAAAAAAAAAAAAAAAAAAAGAGAGATAGCAGTATAAACTAACTAAACAAAAAGAAAAAGGATATTAATTTTAAATTCCATCTTCTTGAGTTAGAGACCTCAAGGAGATTATTTCAAATTGAAAGTCTTAGGCAGGAACTGAAAAATTCAATTTTTAGCTATTACTTTAGGGTATTAAGACTGCACTGAAATGTGAGAGAAAATGTGCTGTAATGTAACTGTTGTGGCAAGAGTAGTGGGAAATGGAAAATAAGTGGGGAAAACACCCAGTTGCTTAATATATGCTGTAGTCAGACTTTCTTTGGACTGTCAGCTCCCAAATAATGACATTGAGACTTCTTATTCAATATAAAAGTTTGGCCTTAGTTTAGGCTTGTTCCCAACTAGCTCTTAAAACTTAAATTAACCCATTTATATTAATTTACTTTCTGCCACACGGCTCGTTACCTCCTCCATACAGTACGTCCAAATTCCTCCACATCTTCCACACTTCAGATTCTTCCCAGAATTCCTCTCTCTGATAGAAAGTCCCGCCTATCCTCTCCTGCCTAGCTATTGGCCATTCAGCTCTTTATTAAACCAATCAGAAGGTGCCTTAGGCAGGCAAGGAAAGAGAGAAATACATCTTCACACAGTATGATCAAATATTTTGCAACAGTATTCAGATAATTTTGTGTTTATCAAGTAACTACCATTAAATGTAGCAAAGATTTTTTTAATTAAAAAAATAAGACAAATTTCATACTATATAGCCTAAGGTGTCTATTGTGGCTAAAGTAGAAGATGCGACTAGAGAAAGAATGTAGCTAAGGACATGTCTGTAGGAATTTCAGATACCACAGTGATCAAACAACTGCAGGAGGGGAGTCATGGACACTGCATGTGGCACAAGCTTGTGTATGAGTAGCAACCTCAGGATTCTGTAGATGACTGGCTGCTGTGGTCTGAAAGTCAAAGCTAAGATGTCCAGTCATTGCCCTGTAGCACCCAATTGCCTCTGGAGACTTCTAGAATGGAGCAGGTCTCAATTATTTCTCTCACTCATATTTACAGCCTGCGTTTTGTGAATTTTCCAGTGGTGACTTTGTATAAAGGATAAGTAATTGATTCTGCATAGGGGCTCTACACACTGTGAGGAGAATGAAGTCAGAGGTTTGTGAGCAGGAAGGAAGCACCTGTACCATGCTGTGACTAAGCTGCTGGCACAGAGGTAGATGCCTGAGTCCTCTTGCTCTGTAGACTGGATCTTCAGAATGGAAAAGGAGCCCCTAGGCCACATTGCAGAGAATCGATCACTAGGCATCCCAGATTTGTCAAATAAAAATGAATCCTGGAAATACACCATAAACACTGGACCTTGTCCTGGGTTCTGTCGGTACCAATAAAGACCATTGTGGCCAGAAACTGGATCACATACAAGGTATACATCCTGTCCCCTCTTTATAACTCTGTACATGGGAGATTTCGAGACTCTAGCACTAGTGAGGTCTGTGAAAACATAAATTGTGAACAGAGTAAAGAACATGATTGTAATAAGAGTTCATCAAACACACACACACACACACACACACACACACACACACACACACACACAGTGAAAATGGTTGATATTCTAATGACTCATCTGTCCCCAGGAGATTGAAGATCACCAAACAGAAGAGCCTAATACCCATGGTAGAGTTCATACAGGATGAAAGCTCAGTGAATCTGAGTACTAGTGAATAGGAGCAGAGGAAGATTGAGGTGACCCTTCTCCCCACAGGGCAGTTCCCATGATATCAAGAATACACAATTTGTATTGTCAGTACATGGATGACTGACTTAAACATTTATACATTTCTTCTTTAAAAAAAATCAATGAATGGGTTCTCATTTTCATTCTCAATACTGCCTAAACTCTCATATCCTTTCAAAACTAAAGAAGTATTGGTATTAACTCTTCTTTGAAGATCTGGTAGAATTCTGCACTGAAACCATCTGGTCCTGGGCTTTTTTTGGTTGGGAGACTTTTAATGACTGTTTCTATTTCCTTAGGGGTTATTGGACTATTTAAATAGTTTATCTGGTCTTGATTTAACTTAGGTATGTGGTACCTATCCAGAAAGTTATCCATTTCTTTTAGGTTTTCCAGTTTTGTGGAGTAGAGGTTTTTGAAGTATGACCTGATGATTCTCTGGATTTCCTCAATGTCTGTTGTTATGTCCCCCTTTTCATGTCTGATTTTGTTGATTTGGATGCTCGCTCTCTGTCTTTTGGTTAGTTTGGATAAGGGCTTGTCTATCTTGTTGATTTTCTCAAAGAACCAACTCTTTGTTTCATTAATTTTTTGTATTGTTCTCTTTGTTTCTATTTTATTGATTTCAACTCTCACTTTGATAATTTCCTGGCGTCTATTTTTCCTGGGAGACTTTGCTTTTTCTTGTTCTAGAGCTTTCAGGTGTGCTGTTAAGTCACTAGTGTGAGATTTCTCCAACTTATTTATGTGGGCATTTAGTGCTATGAATTTCCCTCTTAGCACTGCTTTCATAGTGTCCCATAGGTTTGGGTATGTGGTGTCTTATTTTTGTTGATCTCTAGGAAGTCTTTAATTTCTTTCTTTATTTCTTCCTTAACCCATTGGTGATTCAGTTGAGCATTATTCAGTTTCCATGAGATTGTAGGTTTTCTGTAGTTTTTGTTGTTGTTGAAATCTAACTTTAGACCATGGTGGTCTGAATAGAACACAGGAGGTTATTCCAATTGTTTT